GTGGGGCGCCCCGGCTGCGGCACCGCCCCGCACAGCGGGCGGAGCTGCGGGGCTGCGGGCAGGGGCAGCGGGACGGGCTGAGCCTCGCTCCTAGACCTTTATTTGGATGGATTTCTGTTGGCTGTGCCCCGCCCTGTGGAAGCTGGATGTCCTCGCAGCGTGAGCGCCCTGCGGCTCCGGCTCCCGGCCCCTCGGGACGTCTTTGTGGCTGTTTTCCCTTTGGGTTGCTGCGGATGAAAGGTACAGGTGGGTTTTTCTTCCAGTGTGCTGTGCCACCCTCCCCTGCCGGCGAAGTGTAAGAAAGTTTGTGGAAGAAGAGTCCTAAGCGGAGGCTGGCTGGAGAGGCTTTTGCCTGGGGAAGCCTTGGGTGAGCCCGGGCGTTCAGGAGATGCTGTCAGTGCCGGCTCGGGCTCTGAGACGCTTCTGATGGCATCAGCCCAGCGCAGGAATGGCTCTGTCTCTTCTGCTCTTAGCATAGACATTTCTGTGCATAAACTTCCCCTTTGCACGCATTTAATTTAAATTTAACGTTAAATTACTAAATGAAAGTAGCTTTTTTCAAAAAAACAGGGGTTTACCGCCCTTTGACTTTCCCCTTGAGTAAATAGTACGGCATTCAAACATGTGAACTTCACCACGTGTGTTCTGTACCTATGCTGTTCTCCTTTCCATGTCTGTCTGTCTCATGAACGTGAGCTGTTTAAAGCAAATCTGTCGGTCGGCATCCAAGAGATCCCTCCACAGACAGGAGGTTTTGGGGAGCTGGGAGATACCCCAACTTCTGAACCATAGAGCCTCCTCTCACTCTTCCAGCTTAGTTCTGAAGACACCTCTCTGTATCTCCTGAAATCTTGCAGTCTGGCTGGGAGCATGGAAAAAATAGTCCAGAACAGATGGGAATTCTGACTTTAGTGTTGTGAAGTCCCATGAAGACCCTCATCTTTTGACTGTGTTTTAAAAGAATTGTTTCGGCTGATGCCTCTGGTTTTGGATATTTTCTGTTAAAAACAATTCAGTTTCTCATCTGGAAGATGAGTTTAAAATTATGTCAACTTAAAAATGCACTGTTCCTGCTATGATTCTGTCAGCAGGTCAAGAAAGTGACTCTTCCTTCATAAAATTTCATCTGGGATTGTCTTTGAAATGTTATGCAAGAGGGTTGGTTTTGATGGGGGTTTTGTTTGTTTGCTTTTAATTTTTCATTAGAAATACAAATTTTTAAGGAAAAACACTTCTAAAATTTATTTTTATATGAACTGAACAACAAGTTGATTTAGGTTGTGTGAAGATGGGTTAAGAGTGAGGGGTTTTTATAGCTCCATTATATCCCAAGAGAATAATGTAGATATAATGGAAAAGGGTAAGTTTTTTTAGTACTATGAAGTTTGATTTTATTTATTTTATGCATTTTCTTCAGATTTTAAATATTTAAAGTGAATTAAGCATCATATTTGGCATGTTGCACAATGCTGCAAGAGAAGCTGGTGAAGAATCTCCCAGGTGGAAACCTGTGAAGCTAATGTGTTCAGTAAGTTATTTGGGAGCAAAGTGAGAAAGGAAATAAAGCAGCTTCACTGCTCAAGCTAATGTGTGGTGTCAAGTGCAAAAAGAAGCCTCTCCTTCTCAGTATTAAAGCCTGTGCTCCCAGAAGCTGATCTAACATCTTCTGAAGCATTATTTTCTTCCAACAGACTACTTCAGAGAAAATACAAGCAGCGATGGGTGTCTGTTTTGTACCTTTAGACTTTTACTGTCAGAACCAGTTAACAGATGGAGCATTTAATAGCTGGTGACATTAAACAAACTTTTGGCCATTTCACCTGGCCATATGTTTTGTATCACTTTGGGTATGTTTTCCATTCCATGTCAACTCTGACAGATTCAAGGGGACAAGCTGGATGCTCATTTATTTGCCTTGGATGAAATTGTAGGTTTTAGTGATTTGGGGCTTTAAAATATTTATTGAGGAGCAGAATTGGAAAACTTGAAAGCTCCTGAGTTTTCTAGGAGTTGGGAGGGCTCAGGCTGTACTTCTAGCTGGTGGAGCCCTGGGGAGTGCAGAGTGTCACCTGTAAGACAGGGTTAATAGAGTTCCAGAGTAACATCTATTAAACCAAGTTATCTCTCTGGAGGAGAAAAAAAAAAAGAAAATCAAGTGAACCTTTGAGCACAAAAGTTCATCTATAGGTGTTTTTCAACAATAATGTGTATTATTCAATTAAATGCTAACATTAGGTAAACTTGGACCCATTCTTCAAGAGATTAGTATGGGAGTTTAGAAGCTTTTTTGAAATCTGAATTTAGTTTTTACCTCATCCATAAGTGTAAAAAACATAGCAGTTTATACATGAACTCTTAAAAAGAGACTTACTCCCACATTGCCCAGATCTTCAGATGTCTTCCTCTTTCTCTTAAATTCACCCAAACTTTTTGAAGCTCATCTTTGTGCATCATGTTTGTCATCTTTTGATATCGAGTAGTCACATGGCTTGACCTTTATAGTGTGAGTTTAACGTTTTAAAATGTGTCTTACACCAAACTTTCAGGACTTGCTCATCTTGCCTGTGCTTTAAGGTATAATATCCCAACACAGCAGGGCAGAAGTTGCCCAGCTGAAGCTGTGTGAGTGGTGGTCAGTAGGGAAACGACCGGGCTGTGCCTGCACACCTGGTGTCACACTGCTAAATTTTAGTCAGCTGAGTCCTATCCAGGGAGTAAATATCCTTTTATAAGCACGATAAATGTGAGCCCTTGGTCTGTTTTTAAGAATGCAGGATGACTATATAATAGAGCTACAATTTATTATTTACATTCTGAGGTATATTTTTAATCCTATGATAATTTGTGTTGAAACAGACATTTAAAGTTCATCTAGTCCAACCCCCCTGCAATAAGCAAGGACATCTTCAACTCAGATTGTTCAGAGCCCTGTCCAATCTCACCTTGAATACTTCCAGGGATGAGCATCTAAAACCTCTCTGAGCAACCTGTTCCAGTGTTTCACCATCCTTGTTGTAAAAAACTTCATGATGATTTACCCTGAATTGACCCTCCTTTAGTTTTAAAACCCTCACCCCTTTGCTAGAGGCTCTGCTAAGAAGTTTCTCCCCATTTTTCTAAAGTCCCCTTTAAGTACTTAAGGCTGTAACAAGGTCTCTCCAGAGCTTCCTCTTCTCCAGGCTGAACAACCCCAACTCTCAGTCTGTTCTCATAAGAGAAATGCTCAGAAGAGTATTTTTAAGATTTGGGTTTTTTTCCACTAAATTTTAACTCTGTTCTTTTAAACACTTTTACAAGTAAATTTAGAGTATATTGATGGTGATTGTTTCCTTCTATAACCTGCAACCAGAATTGGGTAGGAGATTTTATTTTCTCAAAATTGTAGGAAGAGGACTTAAAAAGTTCTTTCTCTTAGGTATGCTACCTGGGACCCTTTCCAACATAAATTACCATGTACCTCCTAAAGGGAGAGGAGAAATTAAGAAAGCATTAGTGTTTCAGATTCTCAGTGACCGAACAGTAGAAGGTCTGTGAAGTGTACATAATTTACTCACCAGAAGAAAACCTTAAGACAGTCTGTATATGTTAGACATTAAAATCACTGCAACATTTAGCACAGTGAGTTTGTGGAAGTAGAGAAATGGAAGGACAAAATGCTTATTCTAAATGCTTGCCATGACACAAAGATATAAAAGAAAAACCAAGCAACCTCTGGATCTTCAGGAAACTGAACTCTCAACTTTCCAGTTGTTGAATACATATTCTTCTACAAGACATTTTCCAGAAAACAGCAGTTAGGAGTAATAGAGGAGATGCTCCATTTTAACAAGTGTGCAATCATTCTAGGAGTCCATGACACATGAAAGAGAAGCTTTCATATTTTTTTCGACCAGCAAGCTATGGGTATCGTGCATTTTGCACTGAGGAGTGGAAATTTCATATAGATATATATATACACATATACAAACATCCATTTTTATGGAAAATTCTGTGCAGAATTTGCCTGCAACCAGAGAAAGTAGGCTATGTAGTTATGAATCCACATTAAATACTGTTGTCTCACAAAGTGCACAAACAGTGTACTCACTGAATGTGAGTAAAATTTACATCTGTGACAGGAGAGATGTGAGGCTTTGGATGTCAGGCTGCTTTATGAATAATAAAGGAAGACATCTGTTCACTGGTAAATGTGGGAGGAGAGATACTGTAATCACAGATATGCAAACCTTTGTGTGCACACGAGAGCTTGGGGGACATCATTTGATAGTTTTCTTTCTGGGTAAAGAAATACCTTCTCCTCCTAAATTTGTCATAATTTCAATTAAGGTCAAGCCAAGAATGAAACTTAACTTGGTGTAGATTGACTTAATGTGGAGGAAGACAGAGTTCTTCCCCTGGGAAGCTGATGCAGAAGTTATGTTTTGCCATGCATTTTCTCATGTGAGGAACTTTGCTAAGAAGGTGCATTCTCCATGCTGATCTGTGAGCTAGGGAAAAATTGCTTAAAACATACACGGAAATGTAAACAAACTGATGTTTCTGTTAAAAATCAGAGTGAAAACTGAAAAGACTGAGAGATGCTTGTTACAGTTCAAAACAGGAGGAACTGTTAGTAAATTAGATACCTATTTTTTGGTCTTTGTGTTGTTTGCTTTTAACTGTTTGTTTTTTCTTTATTTTCAGAGAGACACCCATTGTCAGAGGAAAGGTCAGAGGAAAGGAGGGTAGCTGCTGTTGATGGGGCTGTCCATTTGCTCTGAAGGAGGAGACCCTGCTGATGCATCTTTTTAAGATACCTTCCATTCTGAGCATCAAAAAAGATCATCTAATATTATCCTAAGTTTAAACAAGAAAGATGGATTTGAGGTGATTGCTCACTCGGCTCTGCTGCCCTGGAGTTGCTGCAGAGCAGACCCCTGGAAAGACACAGCACAGGAAAATAGTCCTGTGCTGCAATACAGTGTTTCACACCTGCACAACCATCTAGGAGATATCTCATGTGAGCAAAGATCACGGGGCTCCTGAGATGATTTAATCTGTGATGGAATGACTTCTGGGAAATGACTGGAGTATTTCAGCAAAGGACACCCAGCATCTCTGCCCTCACTGATCCGTGACAAAGTCCGAAATGAACCACACTTGGACGTATAACCTGAGCTTTGGTGCTCCTGCAGATCCTGTTCAGCCAAGGGCTGGACTCTCACGAAGTGGACACACAGTAGTGGCTATTTTTCTTGGATTAATCTTGTTTTTTGGTTTCTTGAATAACTTGATTGTCCTCATCCTCTTCTGCAAGTTTAAAACCCTTCGTAACCCAGTCAACATGCTTCTCCTGAACATCAGCATCAGTGACATGTTAGTGTGCATCTCGGGCACTACCCTCAGTTTTGCATCCAACATCCGTGGCAAATGGATCGGAGGGGACCATGCTTGTAGGTGGTATGGCTTTGTCAATTCCTGCTTTGGTAAGAGTTCAACAATGATGCTTTACTGTTCTTCTTTTTAACACCGGTGCATGAAGCAATGTGATTAGGGAGCTCAATGTGCTTCTGTGGTGAACAGAAGCATACTGTTATTGCCTTGTTATGGTCAAGCACAAGTGACCTGCATAGTTTAAAACAGTTTAAAAAAAGACCTTATGAAGGAGTAGTGTAGATATATAAATAACAGTAGAATAAATATTTCCTATCTCATTCTTCAAAATTACTTATTTCTTAAGAGCTAAAAATGGAATCAAAAAAAGGCAAGCCACTGGAGGCAGTTGGATTAAGTATATGAAAATATATAATACCTCTTTTTCAAGAAAATCTGTGCCATTGCTGAACTACAGGTCCCTCAGTGCAGTTTCTGTCATGAACAAAGCCTCCTGAAAGTACTCTATTTACCATTTTTAATTATCTCTCAATCTGTAATATGAATTCCTCATGTCCCAGTGAGTTCTCATCATTAGATGATTTCTGTTCTGCAAAGCAAAATCTTTATTTTAGAATTGCATGCTTGCAGCTTCAGTAGAAAATTGAGCTGCAGGAATAGATTTGTCAGAAGTGATGGGAAAAGGATTCAGTTCTTCTCCTGTGCAGACAAAATTTTTTTGCAACCATCTTTTGTGCTGCCAGATATAGGTGTTATAAGTGGATATTTTTAATTATTAAAAAAAGATAAAGGACAATGAACAGTCCGAGCGTAGCCTTTATCCCTCCAAGGATGAGGCCTGTGGCTTGAAAATGTCTGTTGCATCACCAAGCAGTGACCCTTTCTTCATTTATTCCTACATTTATAAAAAGATCCACTAAAGTACAAACTGGTCTGTGGGTGCATGTCTAGATGTGATCCTTATCTAACCCAGACCAGGGGACTTGGCACAGCTCCCTCTTGCTCTGCATCCTTGCTTTGGTGCTTCCAGGCCACGAGGACAGGACAAACGAATTCCTGGCTCTTCTCCTACCCTGGATTGCAGCACTTCCTGTGTAGGCCCTTCGACCCAAGAAGTTCTCCCACAGATCTTGATGTAAAATCAGGTGGTAGATTCAAACACATGTTCTCTACCTGAATTACAAACTCTTTGCTGCTTCCAATGGTGTGGTCTCTGGTACCTGTCCCTTCCTCAAATGTGTTCTCCACTCATGACCATTAACTCATCCTGACAGTTTCCTCTGGGAAACTTCTGCTTTGCCCAAAGTGAAGTCTCTGGAGTTAGTAATGCTGTGTGGTATAACAGCACTTACTTTGGCCATCCAAAAATAGGCTTTATGGTCAACAGTACCTTGGCTTATTTTGGTAGGTTGTTTTCAGTTTGGTCTGTGCTGAGCAAAATGACATGTCTTCTTCCAGGTTTCATTTCTATTTTTGTGTGTTTTATGAATTCCAATATTTTTGTAAGTAGTTTTCTCAGGCAGAAAGAAGAACTGGTTTTTGGGGTTTTTTTCTCCATATGTTGAGCTTCCTATTTATTATTTACCAGTGGGAGCAGATAATGACATTTGAAGACAGGGAAGAAAAAGAGGTGGGTGTTCAAGGGCTTAGGAAAAAAAGTATATTAAAGGTGCCCTTATGAGCCTGCTGGCTTCTGTCTGGATACATTGACTGTGGAATCAAACCTGCAAATGGGTAAGTTTCTCTGAAGGGTGTTCTGTTTGTGGAATAATTCTTCAAAGTCAGATCAGTATGAATTGGATGCATGGCAGGATTTCTGTGCTATTATGATACCTGTTTTCATGTGATAGTTTCTGCTATAATTCTTAAAATTGATTAGATCATCAAGGAGCACAGAAGCAAATAAAACAGCAAAACCCAGAATACCAAAGGTGACCTCAACTCCTCTGAGTGATGTTGGTGCTGTCAGTGGGGTGTCCTGGGAAGATGAGGCAGCCTAAATGCAGGTAGTTATTAAACTGTGCATAGGTCATGTGAAGGTCTTGCAGCACTCACATTTTTTCTTTCATTAGTGTATATAAGGGGCATACTGAAGAAGTTTGCCTGCAGATTTATAGTTAAATAACGTTGATTGGGATATAGCATGAGTAAAAGCAAATAGCAATAGCAGGCTGCCTAACATTTATGTATCTCTTATCTGCTGATAAATATCATTATTCATCCTTTAGCTCTTCCTTTAGAAACCTCATACATTTGTTAGCTAAAAAATTAGCTTTCCCTGCTCGGTACCTCATGTCTGATTTTGGTCCATCAAAGATAAAAGAAAGGGCCCTAATGCTCAAGATCCAGAAGAGAGATGTGTAACAGGAAAGGTAATTAAGATGAGCTGAAGTTCGACATCAAGGTTGGTAAGAATTGATGCTTCAATATTCTTATCTGTTTGGGGTTTTTTTTGTCACAGGATAGATGATCCTTCTAGGATAAACAACAGTATAGGAACATACTGTTAATCATGTTAAGTCTTAATGATTTTAAGTGTTTAGGGATATGGTTTTGGGGTAATTGTGGTGCTGAGTTGCTGGTTTGACTAGATGATCTTCAAGATCTCTTAACCTATCTCATCAAACCTTGAATTGCACTTTCTTGTAGTAAATGAAGGTACATACCTTTTTTTCTTTCCTAACTGCAATATTTCTCTAAATTATGAAGAAAATTTAAGTGGGAAACTAATCTTCATGACTTGGTGATTATTTCAAGATGTGTAAGACACACCTAAGCCAAATTCAAACTGTTAAAATATTTATAAATACAGTTCATTCTTACAAGTCCTCTGAAAGGATTGTATTTTGAAGGACATTTTCCCCCCTCCCACTTGTTTTATGATAAGCCTCCTTTGTGTTTTAAACCAAATGGAGAGTGAAGGTGTTATCTTTCAGGCCTGTGGCTTAGATGAAACCTGAGGAAGTGAAAGTAGGAAGCTGAGATTTTTTCTTTTCTTTTCTTTTCTTTTCTTTTCTTTTCTTTTCTTTTCTTTTCTTTTCTTTTCTTTTCTTTTCTTTTCTTTTCTTTTCTTTTCTTTTCTTTTCCCTTTTTTTTTTTTCTTTTAAATTTTCCTCTCTCAACTGTCTTACCTTTTTTAAAATCACCTGCCTGGGAGGTTATCTGGAAAGCAGGTATGATTCCCCTCCCAGCAGTATCGACAGTGCAATATACACTGGTGTCACTTAGTGGGAAATCAAGTGAGCTATTTACCAGGCAATCCATTGCCTACCCCAGGCACTGGAAAACCATGACCCAGGAATGAGCATCAGGGGGTTGCCATGGGCACAATGGAGAAAAATTATGGACAAAGGATAGTTTTTTTGTATAATTACTTGCTGCTATCCCTGTGTCTGCTTTGTGATTTCAAACCATACATGGAAAGCACAAGGTTTGGAAGCTAATGGGAAGTGCAGATGCTGATCAATAGCCATGTAGTGGGGATCTTAAGAAGGTTAAATATTGTGAGATCTGCTGTGGAAGTATGAGCTGTTGGGTCTTGATCTGGGGAAGCACCAGGAATGAAGCTAGAGGAGAAACAGCATGGCCAATTCCCACAGAAAAGGATTTTACCCTGGTGCTCCTCCTTGATTTCAGCTCTGTTAAGTAGGTCATTGCAGTGGAAATTGCCCATGTCACTGAGCTGGGGAAATGGATGGATTTTTAAAATTTGCTGCCATTACCCACCGCTTTGTCATGGTTTGACAGGCTCATGGTTATACATTTAAGCAAACATGGCAAATGACACAGGGACAGGATCTATTTTCACAGATGAACTCTCAGTAAACTTTGCAGGCAAGGTGAAAAAATATATGTATAATAAATAGATAATAGGTAATAGATAATAGATAATGAATTTATAAGCTTTAGGTTTTTATTTTAGGAAAAATATATTATTTTTAAGGCACTTCCATAGAGACCACATACACAGGAAGTGATATGCCATACTAAGATTGTCTTAGAGTTGTCTTAGAGTATGACTTCTGGAGTTCATTCGTAGACTCACTACTCTATGTCATGATATATAAGAATTAAATATTAAATAGATTGATACATAAAAGAAAGACAAAGTTGTCTCTAGTTCCAGAAATCCAACACTGAATTCTGATGCTGGAAAAATTTCAAGGCACATTGCTAGCAGGGAAATTTTTGTGCCTGTTGAACTCTTAACTCTTGTTTTCAGGTGTCTGCTGGTTGTTTTCTCTTTCTTAACCTTCATGGTGGTTGAAATACCTGGCAGCTTGCCCGAGAAGTTGTTTCCAATGTTTCATTGTAAAAAATGAATTCTGATGAGGGTTGTGTAAAAGAACATCAGTATTTAGAGGAGCCAGGAGTGCCTGTGTCATACGACAGCTGTGAGACTCGATGTCTGTGTCTTCCCACACTGCATCCGGTCAGTCCTGGGTGCAGCAGAGGGCCACAGTCCTACCTGAACTGAAGTGAGGCATATAGATGTGTCCTAATGTCCACTGCTAGCTCAAGGTCATACCTAAATGAGGACTTTAATCTTTTTAGAAACCCTGTACTCAACTTTATGGGTAGATAATCCTTTCAATCGTATTAAGGCACTTATCGATTTATTCCCTTGTAAACTGCCAGAGAACACAATGAATGGAGCTGCTCATGAATTTGATTTAAAGTTCAGCTGCCTTGTGAGCTTAAACAAATGATTTTCGTTTTAGAATTTTATCTTGATTTTATATGCTGTATCTTAGACTCACTGCATTAAACTAAGGTACTTACATTTAGTATAGACTTCAACATACTGGAAACTGTTTATGGGATGCAGTTGAGATCTAAATGACTCTTCTGTGAAAACATACCCTTTTTTTCACAAAAAAAGAGATAATCTCACTTGGCTTGATCCTGCAAGAACTCATCTGATGTTTTCTGGGTTCTGATGCAGCAAGTACACATCTCCCAGTGCAAAACTACTCTTAGCAGCCCCTCACCTGCCCACTGATCATTGATTGCTCCTTCTCCTGTGGGCTTGGGATGGGAGTAAAGGTGATATTTCTATAAATAAAGCTGGTAGGAAACACAACTAATCAGT